GACGAAAAAGTCGTTAGAAAAGTCAAATTCAATAGAGGAAAAAGTGTTAAAAAAGACTGGGTAAATGGCACTTCCTTAAGTATACTTCAATTTCTCTGAAAATTCATTTGAATACACCCTCTTTTAAAGCATCTCTTATGTTAATGTGTACTCATCTATGTAAAATGAAATGGTTGGTATTGTACTTAACTTTACGATCAAATGATTAAAAGAAGTATATTTTTAAAAACCATGAAAAAACTCCATAGTATATAGCTTGCATAAAGAAGATAAACATAATTATCAGTATTATTTATATGCTTATTAATATTATTTTTCAAGGTTTACTGAACTTGAAATTCATCTAATATATTATGATATATTTTGTCAACTGACAGATATTCTACGTGCCTTTCCTGAAAAATTAAAAATTTGTTAATGAGTTCATCCTTCATGCTGTAGGATCATACCAAAACGTTAATATATACATATGACCTTAAGTGACATTTTATTGAATGAACAAATAACTCGAAAATTAATAGTAAAAATAAACGAAAGAAATAATATACAGGAATAGTTTTACATGCCTTCATATAATAATCAGTTTTTGTAATTTATACAACTGGCTGATCTTCCTTAGACAATCATTAAAAATCAACAAAGTTCAGGACAACACTTTTGTCCTACCTTGGGGCTTCTCAGAAATGTGAATCCACGATCTTGCCATGACAGATTTAAACTAAGATCTTAGTGCTCGCACACGAAATTCCGACCTCCAAACCATTGAGTCAGCATCCAATGGTGTATATGTTTAACTTCAATCAATTTGCGATATTTCACCACTATCTTCCATTGCTTGTGAGTGTACCTTTCACATACTTGACATGATGGAACTCTACTAGTTATGGTTTTCACTCGAACTCCTGGAATTACATCCTGAAGTTAGTCACTAGAGAGCACATGATTATAATTAATATGGGGGATTTGTGGGGATTATTGAGTTTTCATAGTTTTATTTACGGACTGATCTGATTCGTAGGCTTTAAGTCGGGAACGCATACGTCTGAAAAATTCTGTACTACGATAAAACAACTGTTCAGTGCCTCCCGGTTTTCATTAGTGATCTAACTAAGATTAGTTCGCAATATCAACTATGAAAATTCGATTATCATAACTAAAACGTATTGCGATAATCATTTATCCGTTTATTCCTAGTTTAGTGAGCTACAGCATCCCGAATATGAGAGATCATTTGCAGTTTTTCGTCGAACAAGTGTTTTAACCATTTATTTGCTTATTTTCTTTGTATTGATTTGATGAGCCGTAAGAAAGTTGGGCAGCAATGTCTCGGGTTTATTGGTCGGTAAGTGGATAACAATTATGTTTCTGTAAATTCGGTATATGATGATTAGTGAAATCTATAAGACGCGTTTTGTCGTATATGACTATTCAAGAAGAAACCGACAATTTACAAAAAATTTATGAATGTGGTACCTTTTTCGAGAATAAATAAAGCAACTGTCGTTGTCATTATTAACTGTTAACTTAAATACATCAAAGAACTCTATTTGAAGTACCCAATGATGCAAAAAGAAACAAGTTTAAAAAAAGCAGGTTAAGTATAACAGTGAAAAAAGCCGGATCCAAACATTCAGACGGATATTTTGTTGCAAAAGTTTTTGTATGAAAAAAAGGCTTACTCTAACATAGTTATATTATTCTGATGTCGAATAACATTTAACTAACTAAAAGATACGCAAGTAAACTTAAAACCTACATTATAAGCAGAGATGGATAGTGGCTAGCAGTGGAATCCAAGACGCGCGTTTCGTCCTGTTTGGGACTCGTCAGCTGGATGTACCTGCATCTCAGAGTTGATGTTCACTCTGGGACTCGAACTCAGTACCGTTCGCTTCAAACGTCATCGCGTTATCCACTTAGCTACTGAGTCCTAAAACATCAATGGGAAGATTCAAATAAAACAATATCAAGTGAATTAAACTTCACCCCATTGCACAAGCAAGTGGCTATCAGGACTCAGTAGCTAAGTGGATAACGCGATGACGTTTGAAGCGAACGGTACTGAGTTCGAGTCCCAGAGTGAACATCAACTCTGAGATGCAGGTACATCCAGCTGACGAGTCCCAAACAGGACGAAACGCGCGTCCTGGATTCCACTGCTAGCCACTATCCATCTCTGCTTATAATGCTTGTAAATTAAGGCAATATCGAGGCATACGCACAGTATGCACATATGCCAATAAGAGACTGATCAACTTCAGTCCTAAAACATCAATGGGAATATTCAAATAAAACAATATCAAGTGAATTAAAACCTACAATTTATGTGATCAAACACTTGGGGATTGCAAGATTAGAAAATTTTATACATCGCTGTGTACATACTTAAAACTATAGCAGTGTGCTGAACATATATTCGTCATTTTGTTTATATTTATATCCTTAACATTCTTCCGGTGTAAAGAAGTCTTACCATTACTTTCAGTCTCCAATCATATCAAAATAGAATATCAGTATTATGAGAATTGAAGTCATTTTGTAAAGTATCAAGATCTAGTGTAGACAAATATGCTCGACAATAATTCACTTTTCACGGGATATTACTATTCATAATCCTCCCTAATGATTAGTAATAAGAATTGATCTACAAACTTGAAATTAAATGAGAATCATTTTCATCGAAGAAAAATTAACTAGTATAGGAGTTGTGGAGATTATTAAGTTTTTGATTGAGATCATGAACCAATTGATGTTAGACCATCACAATTGAAAACCTGGAAGCACTGGACGGCCGTTTCGTCCCATTGTGGGACTCCTCAGCAGTGCGCATCCACGATCCCGCGAGCGGGATTCGAACCCAGGGCCTTCGGTCTCGTCGGGTAGAGACAGTTATCTACCTCAGTACAATGGAAGTTGGTCGCGCGATTTCGTGGATTGGTTGATGTTAGAAACTATCACCACTGAATACCGGCTCAGTGATCCAGTTGGTTAAGCGTTCGCGCGCGAGACCGAAGGCCCTGGGTTCGAATCCCGCTCGCGAGATCGTGGATGCGCACTGCTGAGGAGTCCCACAATGGGACGAAACGGCCGTCCAGTGCTTCCAGGTTTTCAATTGTGATGGTCTAACATCAATTGGTTCATGATCTCAATCAAAAATTAACTAACTAAAAAATCCATTTAACTTTTTGTTGGATTTAAAATGTTCAACAGGTAATTGATAAAACCTACACATTTATCATATGAACTTTATCAGCCAGAAAAGCAGATTCTGGATTGGGAATAAAGGACCTTTTCGATTTACTGGATTCAGCTGTAGGCTATGAAGTTACTCTTGACTAGTTTTATAGAAAATTTTAAACTACTAAATAGTAGTATGGTGTTTTAAAAATAATTTCATTGTGTGAGCTCTTCCTGGCAGTTTTCGTTTATACAATAACTAGATAATACTGATGGACGATATTTTTAAATACCCCAATTAACCAGACCCTTTTGGAATGTAGGTTAACTGTTCTGAATCTTCGACATAACTAACAGTCTTTCTTAAATTGTATTTAGTTATTGATGGCAGTGGGATGTAGTCTGTATAGTGCATGTGATTGAGTTTGTACATAATTCATATTGACTTGAACACAAGACCCGTCGCTTCAAGCACAGGATTAATAAGTTATGGCACTCGTCACTCATGACAAGCAGTCGATATCTAGAATAGACCTGGTGATCAGAATCTCGTAATGTACTTCTACATAGGCTAACCACGTAACGTGACTAATTACGAGCATAGGCCGGTAAGATTAACTTTGAGTAGAATCGTGATAATCATAATTACCATTGGTTCCGCTGACTCGAACACACAACCTCGATTCTTGAATCTGGATAAGAGAATATAGTAGGCAAGCTTCTAGTTCTACATTTCAGATGCCTAGCATATTTACCTTAAATAATCAATAGCTAATACACTTAAATTATTAGACAGCAAGGGACTAGAAACAAGAAGCCATTCGTTACATATGATCATGCCATAAGTGTCAGATAACGGAGAGAAGTGTATAAGTAGTCAACAATAATTAGGGAATAACAAAACGTATAGCAATTGTCAAGAGTCCTGACAAAAAATTACAGTACGGGGAGTAGAGAAAAACAATAATCTGATTATTGAATAATTACACGATAAAATCGTCAACAACAGTAGTCCGCAAAATAGTTCTGGAAGTTACAACAACCCCAGTATTCACTTCATCACAACGACACTCATCATTTCCTAAACAGACGATAGCAAGGGATCCGTACAAGACACAATATCATTAATTTATATGGTACGTTTGAAAAATAGACAATTTTAGTAAGTTTATAGAAGCGACGTTTTCATTGGTGTTACTAACTAATGCTTAGTTATTCAGTGAAACTAAAGAAAAATATATCCCAGTCGTTGATTTGCTTCGATTTGTGTTATCCTAGGGTTATTATCAGTCTCTTAAGGCAGATGAACCGGTATCTCTTCTGTGATGAGTCGTTCACATTGTTTCAATGAGCAGCTGACCGTCACATCTCTAATACAATATAATTGTCGGTTTTTAACGAAATACGTCGACTTGTTTAACAAAATAGAAACTAACACAATTTAAGCATTGATGACTTCAAGATCTTTACTAGCACAACTGCTGTAGTTGTGGCAATATGTAGATGGTGAAAGGTTATGAATTAAAATAGGGATTTATTTCATTTCAAAGATCTTTTTGCTTCCACTTGATCAGTAAATGATAGTGTTTCGTATCAGGATTCAGACTAGAAATAATACCTACTTTATTCGTCACACATTTTATTAAGTACATGCTGATGTACTTGTAGGATATTTGCAAAACAAACTTTTGATAGACTATTTTGATTTTTACAAATTGAATTAACAAGTTTTAGAATGTTAAATATTACTAAGCTAAAATGACTATATTTATATATACTTGACAATAATTAGATGTTGTATTTTGTTGCGTCATTGTATAAGTTTAAGTTAATAGTTCGTTCATTTTTTCTCTGTGCTTTATACGTTCAGGCACTTCAAAATGATCCAAGTTAGGCAAATCTGGAATTCTTTCGGGCATTGGAGCTAACCCAGGTTCATATCTAGGCCGATTCGTTTTGTGAAGACGAATAACATTAAAGTAATCCGTTTTCGGGCGTTCTTGATTAAGGTGAGTTTTTATACATTCATCAAAAGGATACTGAGCTACGCGGCATCTAATTAATGTAAAACAAAAGCATTAACATAGGATAAGTTTCTAAGATTTTGGTTAATTACACTACATGGAAAATAGAATGCGAAAAAGAGTTGCGTATTAGTGAATTCCTTATAAGTATACACCTTTTTTATGATGGAGACAATGAAAATACCTTATGAGTTTAACAATATTCCAACTAACATCTTATTTAAGTCTTAAAACTACTATTTATATATTCATAATGTCTAGAATGTAGGATTCTGACCAGTGTAGATGGAAACGCAATATGAAAACCAGTGAGATTATTAGAAGATATGATGATAATAATACCGAAGATTCAGCGTTGTATTGACCTATTAATTGGTGAATGTATACTAGATTTTGGGAGAACCATTTTTCTTATTAAATCTTACATTAAAACCGTTTGCTTCATTCGTTCACTACACTTACAACTTGTAGAAATAATCATTATTTCCAAACTTTTGTCAGTAAAAATGAAGACAAGCACGTATGAATATACGGAAAATAGTGCCCAAAGTTACATTACAAAATGAAAATAAATATAATTCAGAAAAAAACATAAAACGTCCGTACTCAAGATTGTGAATGACATTTACCACATCAATGAAGAACAATAACATAAGAATGTTTGAAGTAAAGTAGGTGAATTTCGGGTCTATAGATCTAAAGACTGGGAATCGTTAAATCATAAAACTATGCATGCTCGATTATTCGAAGAAATAAATGATGCATTCAAGTCTGGTTTAGCAGACATTTCACCCAATACCACGAAAAACTGGGAAGTGAATTAACCTTGAATTCACAATCAATAAGAGTCAAACATATGTTTGTGAGGAAAATATAAACGATTTCTGAGAAACCAAGGCCTATTTTCACTAGCTAACACAATGTTCAAATCCATAAAACAAAAACCAAACCAGGCTTTTAAATTACAGTTATATCAATAAAATTGGTAAGAACAAATTTATTTGTCTCTTGTTCCAGTAATAATTATCTAGGTTCATCTGTTTCACATTTGAAATCAGTACTCAAAGGATATTTTAATGTGGTGGTTTAACCAGTTAGCATTATGGAAAGCCTATTGGATCAAATCTTATAGAACACGTAAAGAAGCACCGAGAGTGTTTACTGAATATTGACTTTATTCGTCCTTGCATTCCGTTATTGGAACTTAACATTTCACAAAGATCTCCTGTATTATATGAATTATCACCTAACGAACACAATCTTTTCACCGATTATGTTACCACAGTTATCAACAAACGCACAAAAAACTTAATATCAGACCTCACTAAAAGTTTAAAAACTACAGAAACACAGCACAACTTTCCTAACAACCCTGAGAGATATGTGTTTAATCATTCTTCAATATCGTTGACAAATGTACAATTAGAAGCCTTATCTTTGGGGATAAAATTCTGCGACATAAATGGAAAAGTTAACAAAATCAACACACATGTTCAATTCGAAAACTTAAGCAAACAAACAAATGGTCTTAATCCAATCTCTGATCAAGAATTCCAACGTTTCAAATCTACTCTTCTTGACAGCTGCAACAAATATATTAGCACAAAAGTAACAGGCAAAAGTCTACTAACAAAAGAACATAGAAATCAGATAAAACTACTTAGAAATAATAAAGACTTGATCATAACACGTCCAGATAAAGGTGCTGGTTTAGTGCTGCTAGATCGCAAGAGTTATGTTGAAAAAATGACAACGTTGTTATCAGATGACACCAAATTCTCAAAACCCAACAATGAGAAAAACAAGACTGAAATTATAAAAAGCAACTAATTGATGTCCTTAAGAAAATGAAAAAAGAGCAGTTAATCAACGAACAGGTCTTTGAGCACATAAAACCAACAGCATCAATAATACCGCGATTATACGGTTTGCCAAAAAAACACAAACCTGGCCTACCTCTTAGACCGATTCTCGATATGTCTGGATCCCCTTACCACCCTATAGCAAAGTGGTTGGCGAATCTCTTAGAACCCATTAGAAAACTCGTTTGTAAACAATCTGTACGTGACACTTTTGAATTTATCGAGCACATAAAAGAAGTGAATGTAAGTGACAAAATTATGCTATCTCTGGATGTGGAATCATTATTCACTAATGTTCCACTCACAGAAACCATTAATTTTATCTGTAAGTACATAAACAATACTGAGATAAACATTGGAATACCTGAGGTTTATTTGAAGGAATTATTACTGCGTTGTACTTGCAATGTACAGTTCACATTCAACGATGTAATTCATAGACAGAAGGATGGTATAGCAATGGGATCTCCACTTAGTCCATTACTGGCAGATTGCTTCATGGTCAATTTAGAAAACAACCAACTCAAAAGAATTATAGGAAACCTCCACTTGTATAAAAGGTATGTGGATGATATCTTTATCATTTGTGATAACAAATGTAACTTAAGTGATCTCCTAAAGACATTTAATAATTATCACCCATCAATAAGATTCACACTTGAAGTTGAAAGCAAACAAAATATTCACTTCCTTGATGTAGATATAACAAGAAAACAAGACGGTACTTTAAAAAGATCTATCTACAGGAAACCCATGTGGAATGGCCAACTATCAAATTTCCACAGTTGGGTTCCCATCAGCCGAAAAAGAAACTTAATAATAACTCTCGCCACAATAATACGAAGAATCTGTAGCCCCGAGGTCGTAGAGGAAGAATTGAGTTTTTTAAAAGAGATACTTATCAAAAACGGATATCCTTCTATATTCATTGATAAGAACATGAAGCCGAAAATGCCAAAATCACAAACAATTGCAGTAGAAAAGAAAATTTTATACATGAACATGGACTTCAAAGGTGATAGAGCCGCATATATCTTAAAGAGGAGAATTTCTGATTTTTTTAAAAGAACATTCTTCGCAGCAACATTGCGAATATTATTCTTCAGCCGATCACTGTTCACCAATAGTCTGAAAGATAAATTATCGCATCTGACCAACTCAATGTGCATTTACCGATTTACCTGCTCTTGTGGAGCTAGGTATATAGGTCGTTCGATGCGTACTTTATCCAAAAGAATTCAAGAACATTGTCCGGCGTGGCTAAGAAGAGGAGGCAGCGGCTCAATAAGAAGTTCTATAATCGAACAACTTGTGAACACAGGTCACTCAATCAAGACAGACTCTGCGTTCAAAGTCATCTACAAGGTAAGTAGAAGCCTTCCTAAGACAATTAGACTGCATCTTCTTTACATTGCCGAGGCAATAGCCATACATTTTGAAAAACCAGAATTATGTGTACAAAAGAGACTGGTACGACCTGTTTTTTTTTTACCATGGTCTTAATGTATTTAAAAAATTTTTTCTCCTTCTTCATACTCTTGTTCTTTTACAGCCACCTGCTTCACCTTCCACCTTCCCTTCAAATCTTGTACCCCCAACCGGTTTGTTTTTATTTCCACGATCATTCCGATTACATTTCATTTCTGTTTCAACATTTTATGTTATTTTATCATGCTGAGCTATCCTTACCCGATGAATACCTAAGCCATTAACTACCAAACTTTCCTTGTTTTAAAACTTTTTTAATACCTTTGTTTATTTAACCTCACTGTCACCATGTATAACATAAGTTATTATCAGTATTATTATCGCCCTGTAAAAATAATTATATATATTTGCGATTGTACAGCTTTGAAAATGAATTCGCCGAAAAGAGAACTCTTCGCTGAACTAATCTTTCCTTCTTATTTACTGAATATTTATTGAGCTAATTTTCAAACCATACCCAGTTCTGCATTCAAACCCCAAGCAAGTATGCAGTGGGATTGATCTACAATATGTATATGGCAAGAAATAAACCAATTCATTTTTATCCAATTTCAAAGAAATATTTTATTTTTACATCACTGATAGCAGTTCGTCTATTAACCGATTGCTCCACACTTAAGCCATATGATTGTATGAGAACAGAGACCAAAGATGATACCATTGGCACCTCAGTAACAAGATAATGAACATAAGAATATTTAAAAACCTATATAATACGCCGATAAGCAAAAAACATACTTTGTTAGGCTGTAAGCCGGCCCTCCATACTTATGAAGGCAGGTAAAGTAATTGCGAAATTCATCTTCACAATGTCGTTTAATCTGTTTGAAAAAGGTTTGGGCGCAACTGGTAAGAGCCTTTCCCTCTCCAAGACAAGCTCTTGGATCATGTGTTTCATAATGGCAAAGCATGAATTCCTATAAATACAAATATTGTTTTGGGAAATTACCTTGGACTCATTGTCACAAAACTTCCCTAAATGAATGCTTGCAGCCAGCAGTGGACACTTTGATATCTTTAGTTCTGGGACTGTCAGTTCCTCAATAGTTGGGAGAGGGACGTCGAGAGAAACCATTTCTTTCCGAATATCGAATCTATGAAACTTGCTGGGTACAGTTCAAACTATTTGAGCGAACTTTAAGGCCGAAAATTTCTTGTTACGTGGTAGTAAACTGAAAGAAAAGCTTTGCGCGATGAATATCTGGCGGAATGAACCGGATTATATGTTATGATAACAAAATAGATAAACACTGCACTTTAGTTATTTTCTAAACTCTATTGTTTGATATTGTTATGATCATGTTTTTATTTTTTAAGTTATTGTCATTTCGTTTTATCTAAGACATTCCTTAGAACTTTATTATATAAAGTCGTTTTGGTCAAGAGAAATAGGTAATAACACTCTTAACTAAGTTTCTGTTCCGTTTCGGAGTTGAGGGTTCTAAATGATCAGCTATAAAATTGAGCAACCAGCACTGCTTTACGGTTTGCTTCTTGCAGTTATAAAGTTCCTTACCGAATGAACACATCTCGACAGTCACCTCCAAAATGAGTAAATACGAACAAACTCTTTAGGCTCAGGATTTGTGAAGCACTGATAAATTTCATTTTTCAGACGTCTTAAAATGTCAGCTTTCATAGTGTGCATACATAAATTGCTTTCGAACTTGCAAAAACATAGACATTTTTACTGTTTATTGACAGCTCTTCATATTTTGTGTCCCTTTGTCAATAACACTATCATTCTTACAGTCTATACAACATTATTATTATTAGTTAAACACATAAATAATGCTATAAGAATGCACCATATATATATGCGCCACATAAATCATCCGATTTGTGTGAGGGCTGAGACATTGCCCGGGTGACCAAACCGGGGCAGATGGTTTCCATAGGTCACGTCCCGAGCCTTTGACTTGAAGGTCTAATCCACAAGTCAGTGGAGCAACTTCAGGAGATACAGTCCCATGGTAGCCAGTGACCAACAATAGGTTTATACGCCATTTGTTTCTTCAAAATACTGGAGCCCATGCACACCATTAGTCTGAAATTAGGGTGCCCAAACCCCCAGGCTGTCCTCCATATCCACTAATCTGGCTAAAGCGCCGAACATTCTCTTTTCGTCCTCTCAATTTCGTAAACAACAGTAATGCTGCGAGAAGGCAGTGAGTAGGACTTTTCTGGCAGTTGTTTTATGCACGTGGCCATGTGAGAGCATTTGGAGAGGGAGAGCCGACTTTCTCCACTCTTGGCCGTATTAGGGCATTAGGAGGCTATTAAACATAATATTCTATGACATTTGATAACGCAGTAAACGTTTCATCGTTATGCTAGATGGAAAGCTGGCCGCGTAATCGAAAACGTAGAATTCGAGCAACAATCTCATATTGTTTCAAAGAGGACTACAACCTTAGACCTTCCTAGTTTATATGATAAATCAACATTTTGCAATCTACAGGTAACAGACGATACCGTAGCTGCTTTTTGTGAACTTTCTGAAGTAAGAGCAGCAACAAATTTTTGGATAGAAATAACGTTTATTGTTATATCGCAGTAACTGGTCGCCAATATGGTATTTAAATGAACGGTACGTAGGGTTATCAGAAGGACAGGAATGCACAGACTGCTGTTTGTGACCTCCTTTTGTACGTCAACCGCGTGGTGTATATTTAGTTATATTACCTAGTGACCAATAAAATAAACTAGTTAGGTGGAGCCTAACAAGAAGATAGTTTGTTATTTATCAGAATCGTGTACCTACGTAAGGTGATAATGGTTTGGCAGCTAATGACATCAACCTATCGATAAAAGAATGTCAACGGGAGATAAGATTTTATCTGGTATCATCTATTTGAAAACTAATCACAAGAAACAGCTAAATAGTATTTCAGCATTCGATTTGAGGAGTGAAATGTGCAAACATGAATAAGTTTGTAATACAGTTAATAAGATATAAAAAGGTATGAAGTCCTTGAGTAGCTAAGGAAAATATCCAGTGTAATAGGTAGGACTCTAATTTATGGACGAGCCAATCAGAGGCGTTTAAGGAGCTTCAAGGTCACGGCGCTAAGTTTAATGCGAGATGCTCACATTCGATCGTTTTACAGCAGATTTTAGAGAAGAGGTGATTGTTGAGAGACTACAGCAGATGGGACTATTGAGAAGTTCCTGTGTTTGTGACTGCGGCAATCAAATGACCGCAACACGATGTGCTGACTACCGTGATGACATTGTATTTCGTTGTACTTTATGTTGGAGAAAAAAATCTGCTCGAACTGGCACTTTTTTTGCCCGGTCACGGCTAAGGCTAAGACAAATCATGATAATCGTTGCAAATTGGATCATAAAGTCTCCAGTAACATTATCTGCGGCTTTTGCAGATGTTACGGAAACTTCCGCCGTTCAGTGGTATGAATATTGTCGTGATATATGCGCAATGAAAATGACACAAGTACATGAATCATTTGATCCAACGACTGGGGTCCATACAAACAATATTGAAGGCATGTGGTCAAGGCTGAAGTATTTTTTAAGACCTTACCACGGCTTCAGAGGACGATAACTATGGAGCTATATGGACGAGTTCTTATACCGCATGCACTATGATTTCAAAACTTCCGAACCTTTATCAAACCTCAACAAGTTCTTAAATCATGTAAAAGAAGAATATCCATTGTAATTCATCAGTTTTTTATAATATATTTTTACTTTATACTAACTCTCTTCTGATTGGCTAATGTTCTCAAGGTCACTTAAAAATTCGTTCAAAGGTCGTCCATAAAATAGAGTTTCACCGTGTAATATAATAGGAAGACCAGCGCAGAGTCAGTAGTCTGTAATTGTAACCCTACTAAAACTTAACATTACATTTTTAGGTCTCGGAATGACTAGTATTAATCTGAACTAACTTCTTTGTATGTCAGTTAGTGATGAAAACCTTGAATCCACTTTTTAACCTTAACCACCAACTGTTAATCAATTCGAATTCCTAACACAGGTTTATGATATGTGTTCGGACCTAGTTATTATATAGACACTCTCAAGGTCACTTTGGCATCGCTCAAGAGTAATACATTAGTTATCGTCTCACCTTTTTAGGGCAACGACTCAAAGTTGTTGATTTCAAGGTTTATATTTGCAATTTTCCCAGAACTTCCATAAAAATTGACGGGACTTTCCCAACCGATTCTTCGCATATGTGAACAATTTTGAGTCTAACACATTCTATTTTCTCTACCGTTAGGCTGGGACAACTCAGCGGAGGTACCAGGTAAATTTAAAAGCTTGGAGCAAAAAAGAATCCTCCGGAATACATGTTTTCGCTCAAGTAATTAACTATATGAACATCCTACGGAGAAAAACATCCTCAATTTAAGCCTTCCCGTTTATGGAGATATTCTACATGCACAGAAACTTACTAGATAAGGACTGATTCCAGCCCCCACCCTTCTAACCTCAAACTAGATTTGATCCAGACACCTGGACTGACCTAGTAGTTAAAACTCCTGGTATTTGGTAACGACCTTTATCCAATATCCAATGCCTTTGTCGCTAACTAGTATAAATCGATCGACTTCTTTGTCCTCCTTTCGCGCTGTTTAAGCACGTTTCAAAGTTTCCTGTGACTTCCAAGATGATAATAAACTGGTCTATGATAAGATTGAACTTTCCCATTTCCTTCTTTGAAGACTGAAGACATAGTATACTGATTCCACACTCCAAGAAGTTGCTGAGATTCGGGTGAGTGCATAAATGGGTGGCCCATTAGTACGTCCATTTTCTTCACGCACTATTTCAAGGGTTTGGGGTAGATGTCACAACCTAATGAATTTCCTAGTCGTAAGAGTTTCGGTTTCTCCAGGAGTTAAACATGTTCTATACCTTCAACAGGTACCAATGTAGCAGTATATCACTTACTTGTAGGTAACTGGCTTAATTGTGTGGGAAAATAGTAATTAAGGTTTTGCCCTATCATTTTAAATTAGTAGGATCTTCTTCGTCATGGATTCCTTTGTCTATAGGTTTCCTCCGGGTAACGAATTAATGGTGCCTTTTCGAATCAGATTGTATTTCGTTGACTAGCTGGATGTGAAACCACCTTCGGCCGCTCCCAACTTAATTTCTTGATGACAGGTAACATTTTGTGATAAAAATCGTCTAGTATAACTTTCTATCTACTCAGGGATTTTATTGTAGTAAATATTCTGTCCCTTGCGTCAGCCAGTATGTTCTAGTAGAATTATGGTCCCATTCGGCATTAGTACATTTATATTTGTTATTATGACAATAGACTTAATCCCAAAATTGTAGATTTGTCATGATGTGACTACCTGGTTTATAAGATCTTAAGTGGAAGTCATATTATTGTTTATGCGGACTCATCCTATCGTGAATACCAGCGATATGGTGTTTAACACTCCTAAAGAACGCAGTTCGGATGAGGAAAGAATAATATATTTGATGTGGAAAGACACGAGTTACACAAAATAGCCACGCCTCCTGCTACTTTCAGTGTTCTAATCTCTTCCATTATTGAAGCATGGTATGTTGATCTACTCGTAACTTACGAACCCAAGTATAACAATAGGACCAAACTTCATTTCAGACACAAAAGTATAAGAGTTTTTAATCAGTTAAACGTCTTCACTTCTGTAACACCTCCAAAGCTTAGTTATTTCATACCGATTAACTTTTCCTGCGTTCACCATTTTCGATCTCCTCTAAGTTCTACATATTGAATGTCAATCTTCGTGGTAATTCTTTCCTTGGCTTCAAGAATCGTTTGATTAGCAAAAAATAACACTTTCTCCTTCCAGCTGGAATTTTTGTCTGAGAGATTATATCCAAAATACCTTCCTGAACTTTATTTTTTTAACATGTCGTGTTGGGCTTCTGCCATTGCTCTCTCATGCCCTCTCATAGTCTTGTGATTAACATATTATTACTGCGTAGTGACACTGGGCCTTAACAACAAAATCCTGAAAGCTGAACACGAGACGCTTGGGAAAATAGATGTTCCACATCTAACGCGGAGAAAAATCTAACGATGGAGAAGGCGGGAACAACAAAGAG